AGGGGTACGTGGGGCCGGGCACGCCGTCCCTCCCCACCCGGCACACGCTCTCCCACGCCGCGGCCCCACCCCACCCTTCCGCGCGGCCACTGTCCCCTCCCCTGGGACGAGGAGAAGTGGGACTTAAAACGTCTACAAGACAGGGAAGTGGTCAAGAAAGGGCCAGGGGCGGTTGGGGGCAAGTACCTGAGACAGAGGAGAGCCCCAGGCCCTTAATGCCGGATCATCACCGAGGCCCCACCCGGCTCCCACGGCCACCTGCGACCGAGAAGGTGCAACTGCCCCGACGCTGCGGCGCAACCGACTGTGCTCTGCCCAGACTCGCAGCTATGGCAACTTGAACTAGCCGCCGAGCCGCGGTGAGCATACAGGACCCCATCGGGGCCGCTTGGCCCTCTGGGAGTTGTAGTCCGTGTCCTCCTCTAAGCAAAGAGTTACTAAGGGACGCGGCCCTAAGAGAAACTGCAAATCCCAGGATGCCATACGACTGTCTTTGGGTGACTTTCCCGGAAGAAGCGGCATTCGTTGGCACCTGAGGCCCTAGGACGCGCCCTCTTGCCTTGTTCTTTTTTTTTTTTAAAGGGCCAGAAGCTTATATAGAAGACAAACATCAGACAGTAAATTAGAGAGCTGCCTTGGCCCAGACTGTAATTTAATCAGAAAACTCTAAAATATTATTTTACTTAAAAAAAAAGAAAAGGAGTTGCAGTACTAACATAGACTATCTTTCTGTTATTCCTTAGGGAACAGGCAGGTGTAGTTTCCCGCAGTGAAATGTAAAAGTCCCCTTAATACCGGAGCCCAGTGTCTTCTGGTTCGCAGATTCTTAGAACTGGAAGGGAACACAGAAGACCCTCTAGTCGGGTCTTTCAGGCCTGGAAAAAAGGGTGTGTCTCGGCTGAGATCTCCCGGCTCATCAGTGACAAACCAGAAGCAGAATCTGAGGTCACTTCACAGCTGCTGCCGGGGGGTCATCTCCTCCCTTATTTGGGGACGGGACAGAGACGAGGTCGGTGTCAGTCACGAAAAGGTAATTTTAAAAACCTTACATTAGACTCTCCGCCTTTCAAACAGGACCTAACCTTTTAAAATTCCCTTCATATCTGCCCTTTTCTCCCTCCCCCTCCCTCCCGCTCACACACGCACGTGAATAATGATGATCGATTATAATTTGATATAGTAGAAGCATTCAGGTATTTCCTCTGGCCGGCCAGCGCTGTGAGGTGGGTGCTATTTTATAAGCAGCTTGAACATAATTATTCTGAGGGCCTCCCTGTGCCCGCGCCCGCCGTAGGCCGCTCACCCGCGGCGGGGTCAAGGTCACGCTCCTGACACGAGGTCCGCAGCTGGGTCAAGGTCACGCTCGCCCTGACACCAGGTCCACTGACAGGAGCAGCCGCTGGCTGCCTCGCGCGTGTGGAAGCATTAGAGCAACGTCATTTATTTGTTAGCATTTTAATTTCTCGAAACAGCTGTTCTCATTCATTTAAGTCAGCCAACGGACGCTGAGTGTGTCTAGGGCCCAGGCGCTGCCTTAGACGCTGGAAATGCAGCGGAAACGCGGAGACAAGCAACATAGTTTCAGCCCGCGCCTTGCTCAGCATCAAGAAAACCTGAAGAAGAGCGGTGCCCAAGAGGAACGGGGATTCTGGCTGGGAATGTGANCGGCTGAGATCTCCCGGCTCATCAGTGACAAACCAGAAGCAGAATCTGAGGTCACTTCACAGCTGCTGCCGGGGGGTCATCTCCTCCCTTATTTGGGGACGGGACAGAGACGAGGTCGGTGTCAGTCACGAAAAGGTAATTTTAAAAACCTTACATTAGACTCTCCGCCTTTCAAACAGGACCTAACCTTTTAAAATTCCCTTCATATCTGCCCTTTTCTCCCTCCCCCTCCCTCCCGCTCACACACGCACGTGAATAATGATGATCGATTATAATTTGATATAGTAGAAGCATTCAGGTATTTCCTCTGGCCGGCCAGCGCTGTGAGGTGGGTGCTATTTTATAAGCAGCTTGAACATAATTATTCTGAGGGCCTCCCTGTGCCCGCGCCCGCCGTAGGCCGCTCACCCGCGGCGGGGTCAAGGTCACGCTCCTGACACGAGGTCCGCAGCTGGGTCAAGGTCACGCTCCTGACACGAGGTCCGCAGCTGGGTCAAGGTCACGCTCCTGACACGAGGTCCGCAGCGGGGTCAAGGTCACGCTCCTGACACGAGGTCCGCAGCGGGGTCAAGGTCACGCTCCTGACACGAGGTCCGCAGCTGGGTCAAGGTCACGCTCCTGACACGAGGTCCGCAGCTGGGTCAAGGTCACGCTCCTGACACGAGGTCCGCAGCTGGGTCAAGGTCACGCTCCTGACACGAGGTCCGCAGCTGGGTCAAGGTCACGCTCCTGACACGAGGTCCGCAGCTGGGTCAAGGTCACGCTCCTGACACGAGGTCCGCAGCTGGGTCAAGGTCACGCTCCTGACACGAGGTCCGCAGCTGGGTCAAGGTCACGCTCCTGACACGAGGTCCGCAGCTGGGTCAAGGTCACGCTCCTGACACGAGGTCCGCAGCGGGGTCAAGGTCACGCTCCTGACACGAGGTCCGCAGCGGGGTCAAGGTCACGCTCCTGACACGAGGTCCGCAGCGGGGTCAAGGTCACGCTCCTGACACGAGGTCCGCAGCGGGGTCAAGGTCACGCTCCTGACACGAGGTCCGCAGCGGGGTCAAGGTCACGCTCCTGACACGAGGTCCGCAGCGGGGTCAAGGTCACGCTCCTGACACGAGGTCCGCAGCGGGGTCAAGGTCACGCTCCTGACACGAGGTCCGCAGCGGGGTCAAGGTCACGCTCCTGACACGAGGTCCGCAGCGGGGTCAAGGTCACGCTCCTGACACGAGGTCCGCAGCGGGGTCAAGGTCACGCTCCTGACACGAGGTCCGCAGCGGGGTCAAGGTCACGCTCCTGACACGAGGTCCGCAGCGGGGTCAAGGTCACGCTCCTGACACGAGGTCCGCAGCGGGGTCAAGGTCACGCTCCTGACACGAGGTCCGCAGCGGGGTCAAGGTCACGCTCCTGACACGAGGTCCGCAGCGGGGTCAAGGTCACGCTCCTGACACGAGGTCCGCAGCGGGGTCAAGGTCACGCTCCTGACACGAGGTCCGCAGCGGGGTCAAGGTCACGCTCCTGACACGAGGTCCGCAGCGGGGTCAAGGTCACGCTCCTGACACGAGGTCCGCAGCGGGGTCAAGGTCACGCTCCTGACACGAGGTCCGCAGCGGGGTCAAGGTCACGCTCCTGACACGAGGTCCGCAGCGGGGTCAAGGTCACGCTCCTGACACGAGGTCCGCAGCGGGGTCNGTCTGTGGGGGGTGGGAGGGGTGCAGGCCTGAAGGTGCTGGAGGAAAGCCCATGTGGGCAGAATGCTCAGCCTCGACTCAAGCACCTAGGAGTCATCGCCTGGACCTAGCTGCCCTCCTGTTGGCACGAAGGGGGCAGCCTGTGTTTCGCCTGGCGATCGTCCAGCAGAGTAATAACCAGGTGTGCCATTCGGCATTGCTCGGTTCCATCCAGACACCACAGGTGATCAAGCCTCCCTGAAGAATCACTGGACAGCTGGAAGTGACAAGAAGGACAGCAGAGCATCCACGTGGGACATAGCGGGCAAGGCTACAGAGAAACCGCCAACATCCTGATGGGAACTGCTCAAAGTGCTCTCTGAACCGAGGCAGTGGTGAAAGCCACTCTGTTTACACCAGCGCAAAATGATCATAAATGCCTGCTAAGTCTTCCTGCACCCACTCTTCCAGCTAACTGCAAAATCTATGAGAGGCCAAATAAAAGACAAGATGTTGCAAAGATGGAATTGCCCGCTGTTCAAGGAATCATCGTCGGCGACTCACTGTGTGCCAGGGATCCCTTAATATTCTTCCAGCCACATACGTACTAATTATAGGTATTTGGGACTGTCAAGAGCATCCCAGATGTAAGGCACAGCAGTTTGTTTAGGTCAAAATGAACAGCTAGAAATACACAAATCCAAAGCCATAAAATATTTTTACTGTAGCTAAGTCACATAGCCTATGCTCCACTTAAATAGGTATACCGCTGGAAAAAATAATAATAATAAAATACAAAGGAATTCACTGCTAAACGGTGCTTTCTGATATCTGAACCGTGCTAATGATACTTCTACCAGAAGAAAAATGTAATATTCGTAGCCATTCTCATTCATCTGCTATATTTAAAAGCATTTTTTGTGTTTAATGGATCTGAGTGTGAACACTTTTCTCTTTATTTAAACTGATTGATCTCATCTCATGCATTTATTTGCCCCACTTTCAAAGTTATGGCTAAGGAAAGAAAATTGCCTTATTGATCACCATAGCCATTTGTTAAGCAGGTTATGAGAACACGGTTATCCTGAAGACTTGTTCCACTTCCCTGAACTGAAACTGGCTGGCATAGAAGATTTTACCTACATTATGGTCGCTACTAAGCCAATTTCATGCTGTCTGAATCTTGATTAAAATGTTACAGATTTTGGCTTACCACTTATGTTCCCAGCAAAGATGGAGTCACATAGAAGCAGAGAGCAGACTTTCTTCCCACCGGAATTTTTTTTAAAAGAAAAAAAAACAGACAAAATATATGAAGCAATGCTTTTCAAGACAATAGACATCAGATAAAGGACAGCGATTCCCTCAGAGACAGGAAACGAACGAGGTACGCCTATGATTCGCACAACTTCCTGCCGTGAGAGAATTTCCAGGCCTTGGCTCAAGGAGAAGGGACCCAGGCAGAGCTCCGTGGATGCTTTGAATTGAGAAGACAGGGATGAGAGTTTGGGAAGATCAGTGTAGCTGGACAAAATAATAGAGAAAAGAGAGCTCCAGACAGAGAAGACTCTGAAGAACTATAGAGGGTCTCCTTGGAGCGTTCGGCAAAGTATGTGTAGAAACTGAGGCTGGAGAAAGGAGCATCTAACGAGATGGGAGGGGAGCGTGCCTGTCACTCACACAGGACCAGGAATAATGATTATTTCCCCCAGCCAGACTGAAGCACTTCATAATTCACGGAGTGTTGTGGAGAGTGCTCAGACGAGTCCTGCCTCAGGAGTGCGGAATAATTAGTCCTAGATTAAATGCTGCTCTCGTCCCACCTCACAGGCCTTGAAAGCAAGATCCAACAATATCAAACTGTTCCCAAGTCATTTAACCACATCTGATAACAAGTCTCAAGAATATTTCTATGACAACAAATAACCCAGTACCAAAAGAGGTGAAATGTACAGTGTCTGCAGTCCAAATAAAGATTATCAGGCATGCAAAGAAGAAAAATGCAGCTCATTTTAAGGAAAAAAAAATCAACCAATTGAAACTTACCCAGAACTGATAAAGATGTTAGAATTATCAAACAAGGACATTGTTAGAGGTTGAATTGTGTCTCCTTTCAAAAAGATATCTTGAAGTTTTAATACTTGGTACTTGTGAATGTGACCTTATTTGGAAACACCAGAAAGGATAACTAAGTGAAAAATACGAGTCTTTTTTTATGATTTATATTTCTTTAGATAACAATGTATCACAGAGTTTGTAATTTATATTTGGATAAAATATATAGCAATAGAAGCATAAAGGCGAGGAAAAATGGAGGTAATACTATGGTAGTGTTCTTAAACTATACATAAAGTAGTGTAATATCAACTGAAAATAGACTCTGACAACTTAAATATGTAAACTATAAACCCTGAAACAACCACTATAATAACCAAAGGTTTATAGCTAAGAGTCCACAAAAAAGATAAAATGGAATCATAAAAATTCCTGAGTTAACCCAACGTTTAAATAACAGAAAAAAGGCATCAAAAAAATAGGTGGGACAAATAGAAAGCTAATAGCTCCAACCACCTGAGCAGTACTGGCCAGAGCTATTTCTTTTTTTATTGCAGAATAGTATTGCACTGTATGGATGTATCACTTTCTTTACCCATCGCCTAGTCAAGGAACACTTGGGTTGTTTCCAGTTTGGGGTAAATACAAGTAAAGCCACTAAACACATTGAAATACACATATTTTAAGCATACAGTTCAATGAATTTTGAGAAGAAGTATGCATTCCCTTATCTGCAGTCTAATTAAGACATCGAGCATTTCCATAACCCCAGTGAGCTTTCTCTGCTTCCTAATCAGTCTCCCCTAAACATTATTCTGATTTCCATCACGATAGTGTCCCTCTTCTGCCCCAGAAAGTCATATAAATGGAATCACACGGCATGTGAAGAAATTGATGTCCTTTTTACCCCAAGAAGAATTAGTAAGCAATTGAAAGTTCTTAAGAAGGAAATTGGGCCCTGCCCGGTTGGCCCAGTGGTTAGACGGTCGGCTGCCAACCGAACGGTCCAAGTTCGAATCAGGCCAAGGGGGGGCGCTTGCTGGAGGCGACCCATCGATGTGAGGTGCTTCTCCCTCCGCCCCCCATCCAGTCTCTCAGAAAAGCAATGGATTAAACATCTCCTCGGGTTAGGATTAAAAGAAAGAAGGATATGGGCACCATCTGATTTATATTTTATTTATTTATTTTTTTATAGTTTTTAAATGTTTTTTGGCCTCTGTGTGGAGAATGGTGAATAGGTGAGTAACCGCTTAAGAATTCTTTTTCTTCCCATCTTTTGTGGGGAAAGGGGAGCTCTATGGCTCAATAAAACTCCCGGGCATGCAGAATTTGCCCGCAGGCTTCAAACCCGCGTCGCCCTGCGGGTAGAGGTGCCCCAGGCGCGCTGCCCCTG